CCCACTTTATGTCCTTCGTACATACCTCCTGTATTCCTCCTCTTTCAGCTGCAGATATACCCTTACGCAATACACATGCGTTCGTTGCATCTCGAGTAAACTATCCAAGCCTAGCTGGGTAATGTACGCCCGCGGTTTTGGCATACAGACAGGTTTACGTAGGCTTGCACCGCTGGTAGAAAAGTCCCGTGCAGCTGCCTCTAGCGCAGTCGGTACAACTTCATAGTCCCGGGAAAGGACAAAGTTGAGCAAAGGGTGTATATGTTTAAACTTTTATTCGAAAACTTTTTAGTCACTCGAACCTGAGCCTCCCCCCCCCCCCCCCCCGGGACATGCACATGCAGCTGAGGTGGGATGTGTCTCGCTTGGAGGCGAGAATATGCAAGGGACGTCCTCGTATAGAAGGTTCAGACGGCAGTCACGGTAGAGGATGTTCGCATGTGTGTGTAGGTCTTTTGCACTACGCTGCGTCAACCAAAAAGACCATGTGCGAGTGAAAGAAGCCACACACGGGCGTTGAGCTTTTAATGCAGGATTACGGAGTTTCGAAGCTGGGAAAAAAATTTTTTGGCCAACTATACGAATGAATATCAGGGTGCGTGGCACAGGCAAGGGCATATCTTGTAATTGAATGAGGTTGAACGCTGTAGAAAAGTTTAGTGGAGGAAAGTTTTATCATTCGAGAGACAATCCCATGATCCGATGAAAGATTGTTCACGTACTAGTTATATAAATTTGATTTTCAATAACGTATTATGATTTTGGGGAACTCGAGAGCCCGGAAATTTTCTTATATCAACTTGTTTGTGGATGATACAGATATATGGTCATTTTGGTCCTATAGGTTGATCAATTGGAATTTCAGATCCCAATTTGACTTTGCTGTCTTATGAATTGATTCAATAGTACAATGTCAGTCGAGTCAGACGGGCTTAGGTGGTGTGATCGTGTGCTGCAGTTAAAAGACTATAAAGTGTATCCAGTCGATAACGCATAATTTATTTTCGATAAGCTAATTTACTTCGATGATTGTAAAAGAAAAAAAAATACAAAGGTTTCCCTTTTTGTTTGCTACGTTTAAAAAGTTCATTCCAAGGAATACAAAGAGTACAACCGGAAAAGCAGTGCCATCAAAGCCGAATCCGTTTCCTTTATCGTCCACAGTTTCAGGCGAGCTTTGCCAAGTGAACTTTGGAACAAAACAAAACAGCACAAAGGAAAAACAAAAACAGAGAAAGAAGAAACATGCCTGTTGCCGAAGATATCTGCACTCGAGGGATGCTCTCGTATAATCAAGTGCAACAAGTTGGACGCTTTTCAAAAGCCAAGAGAGAGGAGAATGTAGATTTGCGAGCTACATACCTGAAAGCGATTATGCACGGCTCCGGGGCTTTGTTGTGTATATATTACCTGCATGTTTCGCTTTTCTCAGCTTGCCTCTGTATGCTGGAGGTGTGTCTTTCTGTTTTGAGCATTATTCGCAGTTCACGATTGGCCACTTGTTGGGTTGAGGTAGAATTATTAGCTATCTATACACCAAAAATATATGCACGATGTCGAGTTTCTGCTGTTTCAATTTTCTCATACGTTTGGCCAGCGTCGAGCTTGTCTCGGATTTTAAAATATTTAACGTTGTTTCTTCAAGCTGTGCATAGGGGAGTTTCGGACACAAGAAACTATTTAACTTGTGATGCTTGAAGCTTTATCTTCCTCATCAATTTTACTGATCTGTTGGAAGCTTAAAATTATTTAAATAAAACGTATCCCTTCACGTATACGTGTATACACATACATATATGTATGTGCAAACAAATAATTGATACCACCAATCTCCCTAGTCTATATAGATGCCCAACTACACGCTGAGCTTAAAGTTCGAGCTTGTATCAAGAGTCACTCTATATGCAAAACAACACGTTTTTGATGATGTTTCGAAGTGGCTTATACTCCTTTCATTGATCCACATAAATTTTCAATAAAAAGGATACGGGCACATGCAAACTGCGCTTCACCAAAACCCCTGTACATCCCTTTACCGTTTTTTCTTTACGCCTGCCCGCCCATCTGATGGCTTGTACGAAGGTTTTGGTATTTGCATTTAATAACGTTTTAAAAGAATAAGTGCGGCTTTTACTTGCCATTTAAAAAATACCATCAAAAAGATAGTATTTTCAAAAGTTGTAACAAAACCGTATTTTTCATTGCTTATGGTTTGACTTTCTATGTGTAGATATGTGCATGTGTATAGTGTATACGCGACTACAATGTATTTGCCTGCTTTTGTTGCGTGATTTTAACGAGAAGGAATAAAATTATAACGCTCATGTAAGACATGATTAACGTATCTGATTTCAATATCATATAGAAACTTTCTGCTTATTATTGCATTGTTAAATATAATTTATAGTTTTAATTACACTTGTTTCATTTCTCATTTATTACAGCCGTTTAATAGTTTTGTTGATTGGCTAATGTAGTGCTAAGTTCTTACAGAATAATTTTTTTCCGAAGCAAAATGTTGTGATGTTTGAATCGTTTCTCACAACTGAGTCATCTAAAAATTTAATTTTCTCCCTTTCCTAGCCAAAAGTACGTACCTCCTGGTCGGTCTGCTTGGCAAGAAAGAGTCTCTTTTGTTTACAGTCAAGACACGACTTTTTTCGTTTCGAGCCGAGACCAATTAACCTAAGTTTAGTGTCGCAGCAGTATTTTATAGAGTTGTGTGTTTACGAATTACGAGATAGTTGAGGATATCGTACAGTGACAAAATCAAAAAAAGTAACAAAAAAATACAACGNATTTCACACGGGCATTGTATATGATTTTGATTCCAATTTCGATCAGAAACATATAATATTTATTTTTGTTCAAAAGTTGAAGAATAAAAGCATGCCACGAATTTGGAAAGTTTCAATAGTCATACTCTAATGTTTGTAGAGAGTTTGCTTTTTGTAAAGAACCAAATGTATTTCACCAACTTTCCTTAGTTGGTATTTAATCAGTTGAGGATATCGTACAGTGACAAAATCAAAAAAAGTAACAAAAAAATACAACGGCGATCCTCCGTAAATAATAAATAATAAATCATTATTTATGTTAAATAATAAAAAAGTAAGAACTTGTTTTCGTAGTTTAATAAAATTTAGATGGTTATATTTTATTTTCTTTAGGATTTTGAGTCCATTCCTATGACTTCATTTTTTATTTTGTAAACTTGTGCATGTGCTTTTTGACGCCCACCCCCGACCTGTAAGGCCTCACTTTCGGCTCGGCCGTCGTAGGGTCGGCGGGCGTCAACACACACATGCACGGCAGCACAGCAGCAAACAGCAAGCATAATCGAGCAACGATTAGCTGTCAGCTCGTAAGCTCACACTGGTTCCACATAAATATCCTTAATACCTATAAATATTAGCGTATGCAGGTAATATTAATTAAAAACGTAATTTCGGCTAGGAGAGGGAGAAAAGTACTATACGATACTCGGCCGGACAGTTTGAGTCGATGGCATGCGTCTTATGACGGCCTCGGCTTCTCCTTGGTCGTCATAACCTCGCAGCCAATTTGTAGGAATGTCTTTCAAAAAGAAATATTTATATTGCCTGATCCATCATACGAATCAACAATTTTCAATTAACTTTAGTCGAGCCGTGACCACAAACTTTTTTATGATAAAATTATTTTAAATAATATTTATGAAAAACTTTTGCTCACATCTATTATTACGTATCCAAAAGACTTGAACACATTGTACAAAGAACCTACTGAGACTCAAAAATGTTGGTAAGTAGTTAATTACGCTAAATCTGATAATATTCTGCATCGTGAAATAAAAGTTTGAATCTTATTTGTTATCATACGTTACGAAAAATTTTTCATTAGCATAATTGAATACAAAGTGTAAAAAGTTAGACCATCCATAGTTTTTTATATATTGTCCAAGACATTTGTTTCAGAAAATTTACAAATAGTACTACAAGAAACCCACATGCCCCTACGCCAGTTATCTGATTTTTTGTACTTGTCTCTATTAAAAAAAAGTGTTTCGTTCTTTTGTTTTTTCTAGTTATTTGACTTGTGAAACGCCAAAATATTTTTATAAAACTAAAATGTGGAGTTGTAAGCATTTTTTTATAGAATAATCATTAGAGTTCTAGAAAAAATTTTTATTTACCTTGGGGTATTTTCCGTGACTTTGGACGTTTACTGCACCCTTGATTAGAAAAATAGCCAAATGAGTGCCATGTGGTTGGAGATGCCTTACGGACCCATCGGGCCAATAAATAGCCCCAGAGACAATGGTGCTTCTGTAACAAAAGCTCCTTTTTTTAGTATCCAAATAATATTAAAAATCCAAGTAAAAAGCAAAAATACATAAGGGATGTAAAATAATGAAAAAATATTGGTAATGTACATACCTAAAAAATCAAAAAAGGATTTTTCTTACCTAGGGCATGTAGTGCCACAATGTACTATTTCTTAACACTGGCGCAAAATGAAACTGCCGCTTTAATCTTTTGTAAAAAATTTGCACCCTTCAGCCTGAAAAGTATTCTACATCACTATGGCGCAAAGTAAAAACTTGAGCGCCTGAAGGGTGCAGTTGTTGTACAAAACGATTTTTTTTTTTATTGAAAAGCCTTGTTGCAAGCTCCCATTTCTCTCACAATTTTAACAATACAATAAACTCTCTGAAATATAAAATTTGTTTTCAAAACTTTATACTCAACGTTTTTCATTTTTCATATACTTCAAGCCCCGACAGCTTCTGCATGGTGTGGAATAGTTATGAGAAAAAAAAAAAAAAAAAATTACTACCAACGAAAGAGAAAAATATAAATAATATAGCGTGCTTGGACCTTCCTGCTGCGGCCAAATATCTGGGCTGGGCGCGCAATATAATACTATCCCTCCACCATAACCCAAATAGAAAAAAGTAAAAAAAAAAAAAAAAAAAAAANTATGGATCCAAAAGAAACATCGCTTTTTGTACATTGCAGGGCGCAAAAGCACAACGGCAGCGCCGATCCTTAGGCGCTCGACGACGATCTGGCCGACCTCGAATTACCCGTATAACCCGAGGCGCACCGAGAGGCCGCCACTGCGTGAATACGAGTACGACAGGCCCGAGGAGAACCGAGGCCGGGCCACCGCCGGCAGTAATACTGTCCACGACACAGGTGAGCCGCCTATAAACAACAAAAAGTCCCACTTACACAGTGACGTCCTGTCCTCCGAGCTCCCCACCTGCCAGCCCCCCTGCTCCTTTTCATACTCTCCTATTGATGCGTGGCCCGAGATTGCCGAGAGAGCACGGCGCAGTCAAGTCAGTTGCTCCGTCAGATCACTAGGATAAAACTGCTGCATCTCTGCGCGGCATAGCAGTCAAAGTTGTAACTTTACCAAAACTAAAGGAAAAAGAGAAACAAGCTATTCTGCACCATGCACTGTCAACCTTGGGCCCCGTTCCTATGTTCGATTGTCTCATTTTCATTCTATTAAATTTTATTTTTACTTCTGTACACATATTGACTACCTCAAAGGGTGTTTTCAATTTAAACTGCATTGACTAAATTAAAATAAAGAATAAGAAAAATTTATAGTACAACACATTAATTTGGAAAGTTTTTCAGATGTACTTTGATCTATATACCATCATCAGTATGTTGAAATTAGACTTGACGTTGTACGTGTTTAAAACTACTTATTACCTAATTGACAATCATAGGGAGACACGGTATAGTAGCGTTATTGCGCGAGTTCATTGTGCACTGCACTCAATGGCTAAGCCACATATGAAACATAGTTACAGAAACGTATGAATACAAATACAAGAAATCAAATCCAAAATAGAATTGTAGTGCTAGATTTTAAAAATAGAAACTACAGACAAAAAATAGAGTTCAGGAATAAAGAAACGTAAACTGCAAACATTCACATTTTGGTTGACACAGAATTCTTGAGCATAAATTATATATAATATTGAATCATTTATCTGGACAGATACTGAAAAAGACAGAGACTCCGTGACAAATACGCAATAAGAAGAAAACGAGATGTAAAAAAGACGAAATTAATACAGATAAAGCTGAAAACTCTCACATAAGTTTAGCGTAAAAAACAAAAAAACAAAAAAGTTGATAGTAACAAAATGAGAGAATTAATACAAATTTACAAGTAAAAGTAACACAAAGGAAAGCTGCAGAAAAAGACGTACATAGGTGTGCATAGATGAAGATGGAAACCAATAGTTTAAATTACAGAGAAACACGACTCAAATTATTCAAAAAGTGAATACAAAAACAGGTATAAGAGAAAGAGGATAAGTGAAAAATAAAAAGATGTCAAGCCTTGTGTTTACTTGCATGGACATGAAAAATATATAGAAAAAAATTAAGCACATGTCTCTAATTGAAAAATTACATTTCGTCGCAAGGGCTCAAAAAATTATTTCAATGCACGAAGGGCGCGATTATTATACGTTTATGCCCGAGTCAAAATAAATTTAAGGATCCTTACATGAAGTAGTTTGATAGCCAATTATGTGAGAGAAGAGCAGTGTCGAGCATCACTATCGTAAGACCCAAACCGCTACCTTCCGCATTAATCCTTCAAATGTCTTTCTTTCCTCCATCTCTTGCTTTCTACCTACAGTTTTTCAATCTCTTGTAATTTCTTTACAATGATTTCAAGGGCGCATGCAAAGACATAATATCTCTATACTATTGTACATGACACTATATATCACTACTCATCCAGGAAGAGAGTTACACATGAGTCGAGCTAGATCAGCAGAAAACCTAAAGACAAGCATTGATAAGGTCTTAAAAGTGCCGTCCCAAGGGAAAAAGTCATTAAGTTAATGAAAAATGAGTTTATTATGTAGCAATGGATTTATAATATGATTTCCAATTTTATCGTGATTGTAAAAACCACAGAAAATTTTTCAATTCTTTGTAATGATTCATTGAATATTAATAATGTCAGTAAAAGTTTTGATCTGTCACCGAAAAAGGGGCGTAAATGGCACTTTGGCATTTGCGTCGGATAAATGGTAAAAGAGCACTTAAAGTCTTTTTTACTGTATAAAGTCAACGATAAAGCTCATAGATTACAAAATAAGAACTTGTCATGCACTTAAGTAATTTTTTATTCTTCACTGAGAGAAGGATTTGTTTTCTGTCAACATACAATTATTTTAACAGAACCTTAGTTTACATGTTCTTTATAACTTTTCAAGTTTTAAGGAGGCTCCCTCGTGACAGTTCTCGAATCAAAACCAGATGAATTGAATAGTTAAAAATCTACTGAATCCAATAAAATAATTGTTTATATCGCTTACCCTGTAAAATTTCGAGATATTATTAATTTAATGTAGCGCTTTCTAACACGTATCCTTATGGTGGAGCTCGCACACGCGATGAAAACAACTTAAAAACTCGAGTTAATCAATAGTTTCCGTAATAAGAGCGCACACCTTTTGTAGAAAAAAATCTCCTCTTTCGAATGACGCCTAGCAAAGTAAGTGTTACCCTGGAAAATTTCGAGATATTCTATTAAAAATTGATCAAGTCATTGTATTTCCACAGGTTAGCCTATGTTCTCTTGCGTCAGTGATGCCATCTATACTTGAGTTTGCGAACAAATTTGTGACCTACGACGTGGGTTGGCATTTCTGCACGAGGGTTAACTGTACACAGACGGCATGTTAATAATTAACGTATTTGCCATATTTACGTTAAACACTGCTATACATAAAATATTACTTTTTTTTTTGTGTTTGATCCCTTCATACTTTAACAACTCTAATATCATTAAAACGATACATTATGCAATAAAAATATAACAAGATTACGTGCAGTCCTCTATTTTATGTACACGTTTTTACCATAGCAAAGTAATGGAATGAAATATTGATATTTTAACTACTACAGTACGTATGGTTTTAGGATGCATATTGTACGTAAGTTGATAGTTAACATATGAAGTTTATGACTAACAAATCCTTCTCTCAGTGTAGAAGTTGCACATGAGTCGAAGTTTACTTGCAAAGGAAAAGTATATTAAGTAGCGAAGAGATGACGACTGCAAGTGTAACTACATTTAATAGTTTTTGTGTGTGATAAGCGCATTGGTTTCTAATAGTATTTGCAGACAAAAACCAACTGCCCTAAACGCCTTTTTTTCCAAGGAAAATACGCTGAGGAAAAGGCGTAAATACAGTTTTTCAAGTTCCTCGTTGGAAAATCGATTTTTTTGTGATACGCGTACAGATTGTGTCATATTTACCCTAGAATAATTTTTTCTGCCGTTCAAAAGTTCTGTTTTTATTATGTTTTAAATACACTTATATTCCGTTGAGTCTCTCAAATGTGGATGTACTGCGCTCACCAACTTTTTTGTCTGGATAGGAGAAGAATAAATTTATGAAGATCTAGGGATAAAAAAAACACATCCAGAATTATATTAAAAAAAAAGATATATATACTAAACAAAATCGGCTATAGCATAACAGAGACGTACAAATAAAAATTTATGTCAATGGAAATAAAGACTCTTTATGTAACAAAAAAATTTCACAAAAATAATGATATGCTCGTAGTGACTGAGGTAAGAAAACCGAACTACGCAGATGTAGAAGCTTTGAGAAGACGTTAAAAGCTGTTTTATTTTTTCATTTTAAGTTGTTATAACGTCCCAATATTGTAAGAAAAATTTATATCAATTTATATTTGTACAAAAGTATCATTCAATATTATTTTAGTGCCTTTAAAAACTTTAATTTATAATTTAAAACATAAACCGCATTTGAATACCTCTAATCCGATTGGCATTAAGAGAAAAAAACCTTGTTTCTTGAGGTGTATTTCACACTAAAAACTAACTTTGATGGCAAGAGAAACATCTACTCATTATGTCAAAGAACTAAAAAATTACGGCTGTACATAGCTTCAAGAACTATTTATTTAAATACTTAACGTTTTGGCACTTTTACGTTTGTAACACTTAGAACTAATTTGTTTTTTTCTTTCTTCTTTTTTTTTTTTTCTTTTTTTTTTAGCATGCCATGCATTCTATAATGCTCAATTGATCTCATATATTTTGAAATATTCAAAATTTTTTCTGTTTTATTCTTGTTTTGTATATTATTGGTTAGAAAATTAGATATTGGCTGAAATACTAACTTTTAAAATAAGGTATTTATTTGGAATCCTACTTATGAACTATCATAAATTTTATCTTGAACAAATTTATTCTTGATTCATTTCGTCTGGTTTTTTTCTTGCTTGTTTTGAGTAATAAAGAAGAAAAAAAATTATTTGCATACTGTATTTTGTTTAATAATGTGACATTTCGTTTTCTAAAAATGTTAACAAATCAGGCACACAATAAGGTTGATGACAAATATCATCTTGTAATTAGTATACTGGGAGGAGGACAATACACAGTTCTCTTAAATACACTTTTCAAGTATTGCCCTGTACTGCAATATTTTCTCTTTGATGGTGTAAATTTGCATCATGTTATATACGCTGCACGGCGAAAACGAACTGTTTCTATTTTTTCGTGTCTTACTAACACCTTCATAAACCTGGGCAAATAACTGTAAACCTCATGAAAATGTCCAATATCAGGTAGGTGTTTGGCCAACTATAAGGAGCTACGTGAGCTGATAATAGGAGCAGTAGAAGCTTTTGTAAGGTTCAGTTTGGTTTAACTCAGTTCCATTTAAAATGGTAAATTAAGTAAACGCATTGAAAATTTAATTGGTCTTAGGTCGTTATTTACTTGGAACCCCGTTGACAAAAAGTTAAGTTAACAATGTATTACATTAGATAGTCATACATATATTTTACCGAATAGTTTACTTGGATAAACATATTATTCACTTCTGTTGTTGTTATAATGGGATATGGAATATTTCACACAAATGCGTTGGAATTTTCACGTACAAACATGTTTTATCTTTAATATTTTCCTCATTTACACCAATCAGGATTATCTTATGCTTCTCCTATATTGCACGGTAAGTAAGCAAAACTTGGACCATCCAACATCCATAAAAAATACAAACTCGATGAATCAGCTCGAGACACACGCAAATACGTCACGTAGAGTAACGAAATGGTTTTGGTGAGGTGAACCAATTCATCAGTACTCGTCCCTCCATACGTATGTT